TTTTCCAACTCATCAATAAAGATGACAAACAATTTTTTTTCTAATTAAGACATTACATAGTTGTGGAATATTCAAATCTGCTGAACATTTTTTTTTTGTTTGTGTAGGGGGTATATTTATTTAAAGTTCATCTTGAGCCTGCCACAAGTTAACAGTATCGTTTGAAAACTGATGTAAATTCAAACAAGCACAACTATCAGATTCTTGAAGATGCATGGTTTGATTAAGTTTACAGAGTCATTTTCCACACGAAGAAATTTGGATCAAATATTAGTATATCACTAAGAACCTAAAAAAACACACATTCACTCATGCACGCAAAAAAATTATAAACCTAAACACCTAACTCAGATTTTTGTTAAATAGTCAGGCAAACACAAGTCTAATTCTTTTCCCAACAGGTTTCCATTCTGTGTTCCTCTCCTCAGAAACACTAAAGAGTATAGCTGGGTAGGAAATATGAGAATTTTTGAAAATTTGTCTTGTCCCAAATAGGGACAAAAAAGTAAAAATCTTCAAAATTTTCTGCAAACTGATCATAAAAATACAAATCGGATCAGGTCAACTTGGGACGTTGTGGCAATTTCAAAATGTTTTCTTCCCTCCAAAATTTTTCAAATTGGAAGCTTCATCAAAAACAACCCTTTCTCACAAACAGTTTAGGTTCTGATGAATCTGCATGTTCAGATGAAAAAAAAAATGTTGTTCGAAAACGTCCAACCAGCTCTACTGAATAGTATTAACTTGGATTGCATTTAATGAAGGGACAGTGTTTTATGGCAGTGCCCTCAGGGCACCAGGTAACAGCCTGAAAGTGAAACCACATATGGGAGCCTCAGCTTGGCTTGTAAATTTAGCAGAGTGGTACTGCCACAGCATCATCTGATCTAGCCAATGTTGCCACCTCTTGGAGTTACAGATTTATCCCATGAAGAAAAGAATTTCAAAAGGAAAAATGCAATGAATTAGGGATGTATTAGTCATCTTTGTTCTGGTTTTGATAAACAAAATAAGCTACCATAAATGTACGTCCACTTAAATGCTATGTGATATAGTAATCTACTGAACTTGAGGTTACATCAGGCATCCCGTGTAAACTAGAATAATTCAGAATAAGAATGTGAGTTGCAAAAATCTCAGTGTTGGACCAATCTAAAGACACATTAAAATCCTCATGGAATGTTTCTTTAGAATTTATTGAAACCAGTACGGCTCTGTGGATATTATCCTTTCTGTAGATTTCTTGAATCAATCTTTAGAATCCTATAGCAGAAAAGTATACCTCTATTTAAATTCTATAGGCTGGTGATTATTTTCTATTACATTCTATATTTTTCTATAAGGGAGATGATTAGTCAGTCATGCATTGTGGGTCTTGCATAACCAGAGCAAGCCTAAAAAGAAACCACTCTTCCAACAGCCATCAAGTCTGTAGGAGCAAGGTTAATCTCAATACAAACAGCTAGACCTGCATAACCATCTGTTTATTTCAACCTCCTTCACATTCCATCAAGGAAAAATACCAGTCTCTTAGAAGCATTAGTAAGCTGTAATTTCTGTAGGGTTCTCATACCATCCAGAAACTTAGAAAGATGCCACTGAAGATGTAGTAGCCCCAATGGAAAGGTTCTTCAATCATTTCCTTCCTCTACAGTTTCTTAAAGTGACTTTAATTAGTGTTCAGAACAGAGAATGGCAATCACTTTACTCTGCCAGTGGCTATCAACATGATTTAAGGAAGTCACTTAAAGGTATCAGACACCTGAAGATGCAGATAGGTGCTTAGTGGAATTTTCAAAAGCACCTAGGCACCTAACTTCAATGGAAGTCAATGAGAGTTAGGCACCTAAGTGGGATATTTCAAAAGTGCATAGGTGCCTATCTGCAGCTTCAGGCATTAAATCTAGCCCTTAGCCAGAATGTGTCTCATTCTCTCCATTATTTTAGCTGTAAAGCACTTTGAAAACTTCAGATAAAAGTATACAAGTGCGAGGTATTAATTAATATTATTAAAAACAGAGGTAGATTTAAAAATCACTGGCAAGAGAGAATAAGAGCAACCATCATTTCATGCTGGCTACAATACTGAACTAATGAGGAGAAGGCTTGAAACACAGATGTCTGGAACGTCTAGAAACTATGAAGGTTTTTATCTATCCATAGGTATTTACAGAGCATCCGTCACTGTAGTTTCTAGTTCATTGGTACCTGTATTCCTTTAGGTTACATGCTGACAGCACCAACTTCCTGAGCCAAGGGAAAATGAATGATACTATTCATGTTTGAGGGGTTGTTACTCCAGCTCTGACAGATCCGCCAAGGTCTAGTGCTCATTTGCTGATAGCTTTGTCCAGGGTGGAGAGCCTTGCACCCTTCAAAGAGCAGAGCTGCCCAAAAGGAAGATTGACAAATTTAAGGACAAAAAGAAATGCTATGATTGTTGTCTTAGGCCACAACTCAGCAAAGCACTTAAGTATGTTCATCCCTATTCAGCAAAGGACTAAAGCACATGCTTAAGTATAAGCATATGTGTAAGTCACATTGACCTGTGTGTGACTTAGGCACATGCATTGGTGTTTCGCTGAATCAGGGCCTTAGACAGGCATTTAGATAAACTGTATTCTTTATTATAGGGATTCCTATAGTGCCAATCACTAGGACGTCTTTTATGGTGACCGCATCCCTTTTCATGAGCCCAGGGAAAAATGAATAGTACTGCACAAGAGAGTGGTCATTGTTCTAGTTTTGACAAATTAAACTTGGGAGAGTTTCCACATACCTTAAGTAGCTCTCTACAAAGCACTTCCCAGCTACTGCCTGTGTAGCTATGTTCACAGCATTACTATCACTGCACTGAAAGTCTTCAAGTCTATGGCATGTTTGTAGTTAGTTGCACTCATTTAATAATCTGTCACTCCAAGAGGCTCACCCTTTTTTGGGTTGAGAAGACAACCCAAAATGGTGCACACCAGGGGGATATAAAATGGAGGTGAATTCTCTATATTTTATTAGTGTTAATGTATGATGATTGAAATCTGGAGCTGATATCTGCTATTATTGCTAAGGAGTCCCCCTCAGTGTTATTGCTTTTGACACACCTACAATGCTTTGTGGTATCCCTTTAAACCCTTTCACTAGTATTTGCATTCACCTGAAGCTGGATTAAGGTCATGTTGCTAAACAATAATTTGATGTTTCATGGCTTTAAGAGAGAATATTGCTAAATCTATTTAGCAGTAGTAATTTATTGTTTATATTTATTGCTTTCACACCTACTGCTGTAACTGAGTTTTTAGAAAAATCACATACATAATTTTGTTTTCAATATATGAAAAAATGTAATAGAAAAAAAGCCACCAAAACATACCTGGGGAAAAATTACTTTATAGTGTAATTTCAAGACCACTCAGAGCTACTAACTCTGAGATCACATTACATTTATTCTTTATTTTTATTTTACATACTTGAGTGGAAGCTTTATTGTTTGCTTTTTACTCTGGACAAAATCTCAGTTGATATTCAGATATTTTCCCCAGCTTAGGGATGGCAGATTTGTCAACTGTCCAATCAAATATTTGTAGATTCAAAAATTGTCATACATTACAGTTAAATAGAATAAGCTATTTAAATTAACTCTTCCTGCCATTTGGATGAGGCATACATTACAGATGGCACAGCACATTTGGATAAGAGGAGAGAGATGTAAACCCTAGAATTCTGGCTAAATTCCAACTCAGACAATTGCATTTTGCCTACCTAAAATCCTCATTGCTGTTTCAGGCGGAAAAACTGTTCTTCACTTGCCCTAAACAATTGTGTAGTGTTGCTGTATGCTGTTAAAAGACCTGACACTACTCTCTGCGGCAAGTTCAAAGTATTATTATCTATCAAAATCCAATTGATATTTACTCAATATTGGCTTCTTTAGAAATATGCAAAAGCTGCCTGAGATCCTGATTGTTACACTCCCAGCTTGGCTCCTGGCTGGTAAACAAAGGCAAAGCCTATTAAGTGTATGAGAATATTTGACCATTCAATTTACTAACCTGCTGTGTGTAGCCCAGTTGATGAAGCATTTTGAGGAATCAGCTGATTTGTCACCGGGGGGGAAAAAGGCTGAAAGGAACTATAGAATCAATGGTGTCCAAGTAATGTAATTCCCACGAGGGAAATTATTTAAAGGGACTTCAACTCCTTTGCAGCAACAAATACCTAGAGAGGAAGTAGACTGCAAACTTCCCTTGTCTGCAATCCTGGCTTACCACGCACCTAGTCATAAATGATACATAAAAATTGTGTACATCCTTCTTGTTATCTGAGCCTATCCCCCCACATTTTAGCTCCTAACACACACATACACATTATAATTAACAATGATAAGCCTATCTATAAGCTAAGAAAAATAACTCACTGTATTATCACTATGAAAAGTTTGTCTCTGAAGTCCTTGTGGGCTGAGATATTAGGTATTCACAGGACAACTCCTCCATCCTCAACCCCAACAGCCCCCAAAGACAGATGTGCTTCCTTTTAACCTGGTCCTAACTCATATCTGTTCCAAAAATCAAAGCAACAAATGTTAGCATGCACCACTGATGCACATTTTCCTTGTAAATCTCCATTCCGTGCATCCTCCGTACAAACCAGTATTATTAAAAATATATATATCAGTTGAAATTTGGGTGCTACATCTTCAAGGGTCTGAGAGAGCTCAGGCTTGACTTATTATTTTTGCTTTTACAAATCTTATATGATATACAACTTAATGAACAAATTGAACAGATTATATACTGGCAATATGTTACAGATGTATTTATGTAGTTCACATGAAATGGGCCAATTAGTTCTAGAGTGCATACTGTGTATCTCTATATAATGTATAGAGATACACAGTTGCACATACTATCATACACATTTGTGTGTGTGCTGTACGTGTACTGAGATAAATGTGTGTATATCTGTCTAAGTGGGCAGAAGTAGATAAAATAGATTAGCAAGATAGTGAAATCAGATACACACACATACATACGTAGAGTGGCTACTGCACACCTTGTCATGCCAGTGTGAAAAGGACGGTTGCAGGTTGCTGGTTTTGCAGCCATTAATTTTACATTTTACGGAAAAAAAGGCTTCTTTAATTCCCCTTTTTTTTCAGTAAGCATCATTGGAAGAAGACCAAAGCAGAGCAACTATAAGTTAAATATATACTTGAGCTTAGCTGCATTACATAACTCTGTAGGAGAAGCAGGCTGAAAAGGGTTGTTTCATTTAAATCTTTATCTTTTATTTCTCTTCTTTTCCATCGTTTATTCTTGTTATTATTTTCCCCCTAAATTGCCTCATCTTCTGAAGAACGTTGGGTTTCGCAGGCAGGCGGCTAGTCACCTGCAACAACCGAGGGGTCCTGCAGAAGCTTCCAAGCTGCTGTCGGTGTCAGATGCCAGGGTTTGGTCAGTGGACATGGAGGAGATGTCGTTGACAGATGAGGATGGAGGGAGGCTTTCGCTGCTGTTCACTGCTGCACCTGTGCTAAGAAAATGAACACCAATGTGATTAAACCTGAAACCCAAGGATTCCTTGCAACTTGAAGACAAATGAAGCATTTCTTGTTGCAACAGGGATTTGGACAACACACCATTTTAAGCAACAGTGGAAGATCAACAAAAATAGGCCATAGAAAGCCCAACCCTGGAGCCATACAGGTCAATGGAAGTTTAGCTATTGACTTTGGTGGCAGTAAGATCCGGACCATAAAGCTTCCTTTTCCAGCCTCAAGTTCTAGTCTTGATTAACATTTTAAACTACAGACGTTTTGGTGGAAATGTCTACCTCATGAGGCTGTTTTGAATAAAATTCATGTTGCATTTCTTATAAAGTGACTTCAATGATGACTCTTAGAGCCATGAAAAAATCAGGCTAGGGGTTTCTGGTCTGCTGAAATTGAGCCTGAACAGACTGTAGGAGGCATAAGCCAAGTGAACAGAAAATATCTAGGAAGATTTTAAAATCTCCTAGTCTCTGTGAACAACTCAGATTGCTTGTAGATACTTTGGTGGAAGAACTTGTGGGATCCAATTATGCAATGAATGAAAAAGTATGCCATGTGATATTATCAAGGGAGGAACATATGGGTTCAATGGCTAAAGCACAGAAAATGGGGACAGAACTGCCCCTGCTACTGAATCACTTAACCTCTGTGTATCTCAGTTTCCCCCATCTGTAAAATGGAGATAATAGTAAACTTCCTAACCTTCCCAAATCAGTTTGCACTTTGAGATTCTCAAATGACAAGTGAAATATTATGGAGAATGATTATTAGCATTACTGAAGTTATTCACACAGAGAGAGAGAGAGAGACACACACACATCCATCCATATATGGCAATAATATCCATGTGGTAAATTGTAGAATCGTATGAAGAATGAATTTATCATGTACCTTTGATTGCTTCCCCAGTACTCCACCCACAGGGATGGCCAACATGAGTCTGAGAAGGAGCCAGAATTTACCAATGTACATTGCCAAAGAGCCACAGTAATACATCAGCCCCCCCCATCACCTGCCCGCCCAACGGCAGCCCTGCCAATCAGCACTTCACCACCACACCTCCCGATCAGCTATTTCGTTGCATGCAGGAGGCTCGGGTGCGGGGGAGGAGCGAGGGCACAACAGGCTCAGGGAAGGGGGGGAGTGGGGGCAGGGCCTGTGGCAGAGCAGCGAGCACCCCCCAGCACATTGGAAAGTTGGCGCCTGTAGCTCCAGCCTGGAGTCGCTGCCTATACAAGGAGCCGCATATTAACTTCTGAAGAGCCGCATGTGGCTCCAGAGCCACAGGTTGGCCACCCCTGCACTAATCCATCCACAGTAGGACTTAACATCCCAGCCCCAAACAGCTGGCATTCATTTTTTGTTTTTTAAATTAACTTGCCAGTGTGCTGCTTCTCTTCCAAATTTATGCTATCCAAGGTTTGAGATAGTTAGATTCAGTTCTGCCTTACTTGCAGCTTTTATTTACAGATAAAAATTTCATGACTTTAACATTTGATATCATATGACCATGCAGGGCTGGAAACAGGAGATCTCCATTTGAGGACCTAGCACTTGCTTCTTGCCCTGCAAGATCCTGAGATATCAGACATTAAAGCTGTTGCAGTGTTAGGGTATAGAAAAACAATTCTAGCTCATTTTTTGAGGTTTCTGCATCCTGCAGTTAGAGTGATGGTACCTGAGGCAGGACACAAAACAATCCTATTAAATATTTAAAAACTCCAAAACAGCCTTAAAATATTATTTTAGCAGCATATGGCATATACAGAATAAATGACGGTGTGGGATGGAATCAAGGGTTGAATGTCACTCATTTAGGATAATCT